CTTTGCTAAGCCCACGAGTGCGTAGCATGCGATCTACGTACAGTATGCATGGCAAATTGTCCCCAGGAGCAGACAATCTTTTGTTTAAATGTTATTTGAATTTCTAAAGGTCTCCTTTTTCTAATATACGCACCCCATCAATATTTCACGCACTACGGTTCAGCATATGTGCAATTGAAAAGGCATTCAAATTTTAGCAATATATATGGTTGATTTCTAAAGGTCTCCTTTTTTTTATACACCCTGTATGTATTTATTATATACACAAGGTCTGGATATGAGATATTCTACAATCTGATTGGTTCTCTACTAGCAGGATATTAGCTCATATCCTGCTAGTATCAGTGAACTATACACATGGAAGGCTGACTTCAGTCAGTTACGTAATCAAAAAGTGAAGCCAAAGATGGCGGATTTTGAAGGCATTCTTGCGCGTCATTCTCAGTCTCCTTACCCGCGCGGCCAAACAGTTTTTGTATTTTCATGGCGGGAAGTCATGGGTCCGCAACTCTCGGCCCTCGGGTTGTGTTTTTCTTCATTTATTTCATGTAAACCTGATTTCCTTCATCTAATCGATCTGTCTACTGCATTTTCCCACTGTATGTGTGAGTAAATCTGTATTTTTCGTTGCTAATTCAACAACTAATTTCAAACTTTTTTTTTTAATAAATCTGTATTTTTATAAATTGGGAATTTATTTTTGCTTTGGTTGTTTCGCTTTCTTGTTTTTATGGTGCTTTTCAGCTTTCACACCATTATTTAACTTATTTTAGTCCGTTTTCCAGACCTAAAACTGCTTTTTAACTAGAGTTTTTGAGCCAGTTTTAGCCAATTTAATTTCATACATGTAAGAAAATTTTGTTTTTTTTATTTTCTATTTAATAAAATCACTTTGATGATTGCTTTATAAACTAAACTGTTTATTTTAAGGAGTTATTTATGTGTGTGAAACCCTTGTCAATAGGGGCAATACAGATATTTTGAAAGATTGAGTGACATTTGTGTTTTGTTTTGTCACTCTTTGTCATTTACAAAAACAATCCCGCGCTATTTTGCTTTCTTTCCACTCAAATATCGCATCTTTTAAATAAATAATAATTAAAATTTAGAACCGAACCCAAACAAAACACCAGAATTCAACTTTTCATTCAAATTTCGTCTGTTTTTATCAGGTTTTTACTCGGAAAATTAAAAAAAATAAATAAAAGTTTTGTTGACCGCGCACGTAAGGGGACTGAGAATGACGCGCAAGAATGCCTTCAATTTCCGCCATGTTTGGCTTCACTTTTTGAGCTCGAGTCTATGCTCGAGTCAGCCTTCCATGTTATATAGTTCAGTGGCTAGTATAGAGAAAAACAAAATGGCGGCTCAAACTGAATTTCCGACGTTTGGAACGAGAAACGATCGCTTTTTATAGCCTTTACAATTTACACGATTAAAAACACAATGAAAAAACTCCCACAAGTTAGCAAATGAATTTTTTAAATTTAAAATGGTTAAAAATATATATTTTTGAAAAAATAATCGGCCGAAAGAACGAAGATAAAAACATAAACAAAATAGAAAAATATTGACAATATCCGAAAAGCAAAGTCTGTGAATTCAGACCTTGTGTACATAATAAAACAGTTATTCCACTCACTCTCGTCGAATATGAGCGATAGCTGATTCGGCGCTATACGCGCCTCATCGGCTATCAGCTCATATTCGACTCGAGTTCGTAGAATAACTGTTAAATATGGAGTGACCATTAACAAGGTCTCTAGGTTATGCTTTCCCCCTGTACAGCCATTTTCCTTGCAAAAATAATTATAAAACCGTATCACTTACTGAATATTTCAAAACGTGGTTGATGAATAACGCACAAGACAGTCAATTTTCCTTCTTCGGCTACAGCTCTCAACGACTTCAACACAGATAAACTGGACGTACTATCCAGTCCACTGAAACAGGAAAACATTTCAGTACTGAATACATTATACAGGGTGTATCAAAATAAACGCAATTCATCTTTTGTGCTTAATAACTTTCGAAATACTATTTCTAGTTAAACGCTTTTAGGCTTACTTCAAAGCCTGTTCTTTTCTCTTTCAAACAAACTATTATCCTTGTCTCCAATGCTAGTAATAATTGCACAGGAAAAGATTTATTAAAACCTATCATTTTTAGTTGCTGTTTAATTATGCAAGTTTACTATGTTATTGTTTAGTCGGTTTAAATGTTAGAATTTTCTTCTTTAAACTTTAATGTCGTCGTCACTACATCTGGAAAACCACGTAAGAACAAATTAAAAGTATCTTAAAAGAGACCAGGTTGTTTGAAAATCCTAAACGAATGCTAAAAATCGTCAAAACATTCTGGTGTCTGAGCCAGAGTGTCATCGAATTGCGATGTAATGTAAACAGAAATTATAGCAAGTTGATGTCAGTCAGCTTAGATGGTCCAAGCCAAAATTATATCGCATTTGAAGTTTCAAACTGAGTTAAAATAGTGGAAGAAAAGCCGTAATTATACTTATTGTTACAATCCATTTAATAAAATGCAACATTTTTTTGTTTTAATGAAAAAATCAGTTATTTTCATGAGAACAATTTGTTATTCCATCTCAATTTTTTTAATCTCCAATCGCAATAACGTAAAGTATTATTACCCGCAAACCAATGAGTCAAATTTAAGAAATAACCCACTGTTAGAAAGCTGAATGGCTACGCTTTAAAATGAATGTAAACTTTAACGTTTTCATCTATTATTTGTTTAGCAATTTACATTTCAGTCGAGGATTGCGCTTTTTTTGATACACCCTGTATATAGTGAATTTTTAAAGCCATGGTTCAATAGAAATATTTGTTTTTATTTTTAGTACTTTGCATTAATTGGGTTTAAAAATTGAGCGATATACCGATGGCTTTAATTATTAACCTAGCAAATAATTTTCAAACAAAAATAAGAATACTTGTAACTTGTGTTACGTGCGTACAGCTGGTTTAATACATAGTAGAGCAATTATTACAAAAACAGGACAACACCCGACACTCATGAACTAACCGGTAATTAGCAAATTGGGAGATACGACGTTAAGAAACTTAAAAACCAATTGAGCTACCCAGTCAAAACACATGTTGAATTCTTACAACATGATAAATATCTGTGCCTGCGCTTGAACTTAGTAATTCATTAAGAAATTAGTCAACGAAACCTATTTTTTAGTCACGTGATGACACTTGAAAACTGGTAAAATATATTTTAACCTTCTGCTGAACTGGACAGCTTATTAAGTTAGCCTATTACGGTTATTTAAGCAACCGGTGTCATGTAATCATAGATTTCTTTCCTGTTGAGTGTGATAAAGACAGGGGCGCCGGAAGCAATGTGAAGCGGCGGGGACAGCCATTTCAAAAGGGCACTTGCTCCTCAGCCATCAGTTTTCTGAGCGGCAATATTTGTTAAAACGTTACTGTATGGATACTCGATTACTTATGGCTATTATGGGTCGGCAAACTTCGGCATTAATTTGAACAATTTTAT